GCCAGTTTAATGTGGCCGTCGCTGGTGACCAGCAGGTTTTGCGGCTTTAAATCCCGGTGAACGATCCGATGGCTATGCAAAAAATCAACGCCGTTTACGATTTCCTTAGAGAGGTTTCTAATCTCCGTAGTGGAAAATCCTCTGGAAAAATCACGGTCAATAACGAAAAACGTGGGTCGTCTTGCAACTTACTGTGCCTGTTTGCTGATGTACATGGCCAGATCCTGTTCGACATGCTCAAACACCAGGAACATCATCAAGTCTTTGCCCAGTTGCTGGCCGTGGCAAATGTCCAGCAGTTTAACGATATTCGGGTGGTTGAAGGTGTTCAGTTGTTTGAGCAATGCGATTTCTCTTAACGTGTTCATGGGGATTCCGTCCTCATTCAGCGGAATCCAGACCTTCTTCAAGGCCACCTCCTGTCCAGTCTCATTGTTCCTCGCTTTATACACCGTACCGTACGCTCCTGGAATCAAACAAACCATTCATCCATTAGCAGCCCATTCCGGCCATTAAGAAAAGCTTTACCTCTTCCTATCTTGTTGATAGCCTCGTAGGTACTCTTCTCCTGCTTGCTGTTCTGCGCCATTTCCCAAAGTCTCTTCCTAATGTAGTCAGAGCTGTGAAACCAATCTTCAGCCGGGATGCATAGAAAAACTCGAAGTTCTGCTTACCTCTACAGGTGTGATCTGGTAATGCTACAACTGTCCTCTTTGTTCACTTGCAGCCACGCTTGAATCATGTACCCACACGACTGGCATGAATAAACCTGGTAATCGATTTGCTAATTAAGCTGGTAATTAACGAGCAACACAACAAAACATTAAGGCGAACAGAACAAAACAAACACCCTTAACCATAACGGAACTTTTACCCTGACATTTGCAGGTTAGTTTCAGCTGTTTAGAGACGAACTTTTTGCTTTCTCCATTGCCTTCAGATAGAAAGAAAAGGAAAGCCGTCCGTAGCATCGGGCATCAATTAATATATATTGCATTTTTAGACATGCATACGCCATGCAACTCGTACTACTAATAAATCCCAAATTTCACTGGTTTTTTATTGCCATAATAATAGAGATAATTTTTAATTAAAAAAAATCTATAAAAAAATTGGTAAAAAGAATAAAATCGAAATAAATCCGAAGCAGCATCTGACCGAAGTTTTCCCAAGTTCCTTGATTAAAGTGAAGATTTATTTAAAAGATGTTTAAAGACGCAAATTGAGATTTCAACTGGTTCTTCAGAAATCGCCTCTTGAAATTTGTAGTGTAAAAACCGCGCAAACTAAAAAAATGTCGGAAGTTTCGGAATTGGTTCCAAACAAGGTTTTTATTGGATGCTGTCCAAATTTGCCAATTTAACACAAAGCTTCCTTTAAATGCTGCTGGAAACTGCAAGTTAATATCTGGTCTGGTTCTTAAAAAATGGCGTTTTGAATATTGCGGTGCAGATCCGCATAAATTGCATAAACCGTCCAAAGTTTAGGAATTAATTCCGAAGTAGATTTCAACTGGATTTTTTATAAATTTGCGCCATAATCAAAGTCGAGCTTCCTTTAAAGGCTGCTTGACGATGCAAATTCATATCTCAACTGGTTCTTGAGAAATCGCCTATTAAAATTTGTAGTGCAAAAACCACGCGAAGTAAAAAATCAAAGTTTCGGAATTTATTCCAAAAAAGCTTTTACCTGGATTCTGCCGAAATTCGCCAAATAAATAAGATAAAACCTCCTCTAAAGGCTGCTGGAAACTGCAAGTTGATGTCGGATCAGGTTCTTGAAAAAATGGCTTCTTGAAATTTTTTGTGCAAAAACAGCATAAGGTAAAAAAAATGTCCAAAGTTGGGGACTTAATTCCGAAAGAGTTTTTCTCTGAATTCGTCTCATGTTATCAACATGGTCAAAGCGACGCTTCATCTGCAGGCTGCTGCAGGCCGCAAACTGATATCTCAACAGGTTTTTGAAAAATGGCGCTTTGAAGATTGTTGTGCAAAAAACGCACAAAGTTAAAAAACGGCCCGCAGTTTCGAAATTCGATCTAAATAAGTTTTGCGCTAGATTCTTCAACAATTAATTGATCTAAGAATTTAAATGACACTTCGCGTAAAGGCTGCTAGAGGCCACAACTTGAAATCTTATCTAATTTTGGAGAAACAGGGCTTTTGTCCTGGAAACTGTCCAAATATCCCGAATTAATCAAAGGAAAAAAAAATATGTAAAATCAATAGTTGAGTTGTCTGGGTTGACCACCACTCCTTCTGCTAAAGAGCACAAACGCAGCCCCCTTGCACAAATGGGGTAATTTGCTTCTAAAATGGGAACCTGGAATGCAGCCAGCATCGCTCATCTCCCTTGCACCTGTAGAAGCTGTGAAAGATGCAAGATAGCTTGGCGCGTGCTACGTTCCATCTTGATACATCTGCGGCTAAAATT